TGGTCCGGGTACGGGGTGTGAATACGTCTGGGTAGGTCTGGGTAGGTCCGGGTAGGTCTGGGTACATCTGGGTAGGTCCGGGTACGGGGTGTGAATACGTCTGGGTAGGTCCGGGTAGGTCTGGGTAGGTCCGGGTAGGTTTGGGTAGGTCCGGGTAGGTTTGGGTAGGTCCGGGTAGGTCTGGGTATGGGGTGTGAATACGTCTGGGTAGGTCCGGGTAGGTTTGGGTAGGTCCGGGTAGGTCTGGGTGCGGGGTGTGAATACGTCTGGGTAGGTCCGGGTAGGTCCCGGTACGGGGTGTGAATACGTCTGGGTAGGTCCGGGTAGGTTTGGGTAGGTCCGGGTAGGTCTGGGTATGGGGTGTGAATACGTCCGGGTAGGTCCGGGTACGGGGTGTGAATACGTCTGGGTAGGTGTGGGTAGGTCCGGGTACGGGGTGTGAATACGTCTGGGTAGGTCCGGGTAGGTCCGGGTACGGAGTGTGAATACGTCTGGGTAGGTGTGTAGGTTTGGGTAGGTCCGGGTACGGGGTGTGAATACGTCTGGGTAGGTCCGGGTAGGTCTGGGTACGGAGTGTGAATACGTCTGGGTAGGTGTGGGTAGGTGTGGGTAGGTCCGGGTACGGGGTGTGAATACGTCTGGGTAGGTCCGGGTAGGTCTGGGTACGGGGTGTGAATACGTCTGGGTAGGTCCGGGTAGGTTTGGGTAGGTCCGGGTACGGGGTGTGAATACGTCTGGTAGGTGTGGGTAGGTTTGGGTAGGTCCGGGTAGGTTTCGGTAGGTCCAGGTACGGGGTGTGAATACGTCTGGGTAGGTCCGGGCGGGGTGTGAATACGTCTGGGTAGGTCCGGGTAGGTTTGGGTAGGTCCGGGTAGGTCTGGGTATGGGGTGTGAATACGTCCGGGTATGTCCGGGTACGGGGTGTGAATACGTCTGGGTAGGTGTGGGTAGGTCTGGGTAGGTCCGGGTACGGGGTGTGAATACGTCTGGGTATTCTCTTTCTTGCGCGGATCGGGAGGGCGGCGACCTCTGCCCCCGTCCACGCTTCGCATCCCCTTGGCGCTGGGCGCCGGGTACGGCGTTTTCTTTTTCGAGCGCGCCGTCTGGCTTTTTCGCTTCTTTTCTCTCTGCGCGGGGGGTCCTCCGGTTTTGCTCTGCTGCGGCTGTCAGGCGCCTGCTCTGCAGCTGGTGCTGCTCCTGTCACTATTTCACTGTGTCGTGGGGCCGACGTGCGCGGTGGCCTTCCTCGGCCCTTCCTCACGTGACGCACGGCGAGGGCGGCACTCGCCACGGCTGCGAGCGCCCACCCTATCCACCACCTCACTCCGCACAGAGGCGCCAGTAATGACAGCAAACAATTAAATAAAATCCACTGTATATGAGCTGCTGCCTCACTGCTGCGAGTTGACATATCCGGCGATGCGCGCGCGTTCCGTTCGTGCGTCGACTGGCTCCCAGTTCGAGTCGCCGGGGGGGAGGGGGGGGCCTCCTCGGCCTCCTCGGCCTCCTCGGCCTCCTCGGCCTCCTCGGCCTCCTCGGCAGCCTCGGCTGCTTGGCGCACGCGGCGCGCGAGCCGCGCCGCGCTGCCTTTTTGCTCGCTGCCTCCGTTGTCGGCCCGGCCGTTCCGTCTCCTCGCTCTGGCTCGGGCCGTGGGCGTGCTGCTGCTGCTGCTCGGCACTGTTGTCGCCATTTTCAATGTGCGCACATTGTATGGCTGCTCGGGTCGTTGCTCCCGTGGATCAGCAGCCGGTGGCAAGCCACCAGCGCGATTCGTCACGCAGCCTACTCCTACTACCGCGCGCGCGCGCGCGCAGGCCGCCGTGGGCACGGGTGGGGCGAGCGCGCGCACCATGATCTCGAGACGTGCCCGCCGCCCTTTTTGGCCTAGAGCGGGCGAGAATCCTAACGGATTGACGCCTCCATTTCTTTGTTTCCGCACGATGGTGGTGCCCGCCTCGACGCCTTCAGCGCCGCCACCGGGCGACGCCGCGCCTCCCGGCTCCGAGACCTTGCACGTGGGCGGCTGGAAGGTCGTCGTCGCCGACGGGCACGCGGTGCTGCCCGAAGGCATGACGCACCTGCCGGACGATGCGTTCCGCGGCCGCACCTCTCTCGTCTCGGTCGCCTGCCCGAGCAGCCTCGTCTCCATCGGCTGGCGCGCCTTCTGCGGCTGCTCCGCCCTCGCCCGCGTCACCCTTCCCGCCGGCCTCACCTCCATCGGCAGCTGCACCTTCCGCAACTGCTCCTCCCTTGCCTCCGTCACCCTCCCCGCCACCCTCACCTCCATCGGCGCCAGCGCCTTCTGGGGCTGCTCCGCCCTCACCTCCGCCGCCCTCCCCGCCGGCCTTACCATCGGCTACTGGGCCTTCTACCGCTGCTCTGCCCTCACCTCCGCCGCTCTCCCCGCCGGCCTCGCCTCGATCGGCGAAGACGCCTTCGAATGCTGCGACTCCCTCGCCTCCATCACGCTGCCGCTGCCCGATGGCCTCTCGATTGACGACGGTGCCTTCTCCGACTGCCCCCTCAACGACGAGGCGAAGGCAGCAGTGCGGGCCATCAACTTTTGGGCGGTGCGGCCTCAAATCGACGCGCAGGGGCACGCCACTGTGCCGGAGGGCCTCACCACCATACCCAGCTGCGCCTTCTCCCTGCTCCACCCTCGCCTCCGTCACCCTCCCCGCCGGCCTCACCTCGATCGGCAACGACGCCTTCTCCGGCTGCTCCTCGCTCGCCCATGTCACCCTCCCGGCCGGCCTCACCTCCATCGGCGACGAAGCCTTCTTCGGCTGTTCCTCGCTCGCCTCCATCGACCTCCCCGCCACCCTCACCTCCATCGGCGGCTGCGCCTTCTCCGGCTGCTCCGCCCTCACCTCCGTCACCCTCCCCGCCGGCCTCGTCTCAATCGGCGACGAAGCCTTCGAGCGCTGCTCCGCCCTCCCCTCCGTCACCGTGCCAACCACCGCCGAGATCGGTGACAAGGCCTTCGACCCCACGACCGCCGTCCTCCGCCTCTCGCCCGCGAGCATGCGCGCCCAGGCTAGGGCGGCGGAGGCGGCGGCAAGAGAGGCCGAGATGGCGGCGGCGGCGGCGGAGGCGGATCGGAACGCGGAAGCGCTTCTGGCGGATGAGGAGGCGGAGAAGGAGGCGGAGCAGCGCGCCAAGGAGCGCAAGGCCAAGAAGAAGAAGAAGAAGAAGGGCAGGGGCGGGGGGAGCGGCGCCGGGCCGTCGCAGGAGCCGGAAGGCGAGGAGGCGGAGGCGGAGGCGGAGGGGGAGGCGGTGGCGGCGGCAGAGGAGGCGGAGCTGGCGGGGGCGCTCCAGGAGAGCGCGAGGCTGGAGGAGGAGAGGCGGGTGGCGGAGGAGCAGCCGCCCGAGCCGGAGGCGCCGCCGAGGGAGGAGGAGCCGCCGCCGGCCGACTTCATCTGCCCAATCACGACCGAGGTGATGAGCGACCCGGTGATGGCGGCGGACGGCCATTCCTACGAGCGGAAGCAGATCGAGCGCTGGCTCGCGACCAAGTCGACGAGCCCGATGACGGGCGAGACGCTCCAGCACACGCACACCTTCCCAAACCACGCGCTGCGCCGGCAGATCCGAGAGTGGCAAGAGGCGCATTGAGCGGTTTCGCGCGTCCGCGTGGCGCGGGGTGTCGTGTGGCCGTCGTTATTCTTTTCGCAACCGAACCGGTGTGTAACCGCAGCAGCGCCTTCTCCCCAGATGCCAGAACAGCGCGCGCGAGCTGACCTTACTTATTACTCTCATCACCGCACACCCCGACGCGAGCTCTCTCAGTCACAAAGGAGTCAGTCGACCCGGCCAGGGGACCTCGGAGAGGTGACTGACGTGGTGCCGCAGTGGTCCGGCGACAACATCACCGACTTCAAGCTGCGCCTGAGCTTCACGCGGCCACCAGAAAGTGCAGCCTTCATGCTCTCAGACTTGCTGGCCGCACCGACACACGGCATGTCCTGCAGACGCCCCCCAGTCGACGGCCCATCTCGGAAGGCGCCGGTCAAGGCACGCGTCTTCGACGCGTGTCAAAAGGCACCCGTCCCACGCCGGTCGGACGTCAAGACGAGCACCCTCTCTGCGGACAACCTTACGGCCCTCCGTGAGTATGTGGTGGGACTCGTGCGAGACCGCCTGTTGGCAAACCCAGCTGATCTCGACATCACGGCGCCGCAACACAACTTCCCAAAGCCGGAACACTTTCACAACACTAAGCTGGTTCTGGCGCAGCTCAGCTACACGGCACCAGAGGCAAAGGTACCGTTGGCGCATGTGCCGTCAGATCAGCTGCCGACACGCACCTGCGTCGGCTGCTGGGATGGCGTCAGCGACAGGGGTGAGCACTGCCCTGGCTCGCTCGGGAAGGGGTGCACAGGATGCAAGTGCTGCGTGGGGCGAGAGTGGCAATGCGACGTGTGCAACTGCACATTTGCGTTGATGTGGGCATACGAGTGGTGCAGCGGCAAGTTCTCCATTGGACGCCAGCCAGACCGCTTCCGGATCTTCCCATACCCTGACCGCATCGAGCGCATTCTGCAGGACGACCGCTTCAACTCGTGCATTGTGCTGTGCTACCTGGGCAAGTCGTACTGCGTCTATTGCCGACTCAACCTACCACACCCGCCGAGCAGGCAGGGCGGGGACAAGTGCGGCTCCACACTCGGCTTGCACCAGGATGTGGTGGGAGGGCAGCGAAACTCGCAGAACGCTGCCCCCATCAGCACAATGACGGTTGGCCACCCCCGAGTCTTGACGATGGCGCTGCAACTGAGGAGGCGCGACGGAGACCTCCACAGGTGCGGCACGGAGCTCGCCCCAGAGGTCACATTCACCTTGTCTCCGACGGTTGAGTTCGAGCTCCACAATCAGGACGAGCAGTGGCATCCGCGAACGGTCAAGAAGACGGAGGACACGCCGGAAGGAGTTGTGTTGGGTTCGTACCGCCATGGCATGCAGGACCAGCTGCAGGGTCACAATGCGTCATGCGGGCTGCTTCGGCGCCCACTCAACACCGCGGCAGAGGTCAACTCACACACGCACATGGTCATCATGTCAAAGGCGGAGAAGCAAGCGTACACGCAGCGCAACCTGTCCAAACAGACTGGAAAGCAGACCGGCAACAAACTGCCGCGGGGGGGGGGAACGAGCAGACCAAGATGTTCAACGGTGCCCCGGCCGGTTTCGAGGATGGAGGGCGAACCGCACAGGAGTGCTATGAGTTCGCGCGGTCAACTTGGAAGGAGCTCGCACCCAGGTGGGCAGAGAAGATCAAGCCTCTCCTTGAGCAGGCCGTCAAGGAGTGGTAGGTAGTAGCGAAGAGTGGAGAGTACTCTGGTTTACCTCTTGTTTAGCAGAATGCTCACACGTAAAAAGACATGCAAAAGGGGGGAGCAGGACGGTGGCACGGCTCGGCTTTTCTTGCCCTCATGCAGTGCGGGTCGCGAGTCGGCTCACTGAGGGATACACTCTGTCCGGATGACCGCCGCGCCGGACCACGGCGGCGACGCGAGGGTGACGACAGGACAAGACGCCGACCAGTACTGCCGAGCCGGGGAGACTCCGCAGCGTGCAACTGCAGGCAACAGGAAGGCAGCGACGGGAGTGCGGTGGCTGCGATTGCAAGCAGCCGAAGCGTCGAAGCCACAGCGCTGTGCTGTCACAGTGTCGAAACGCCAGCGGAGGATGACGAGAGGAGACACAAACCTCAGCGCCTGTCCCGACACACAAAGATCCACGAAGGCGCGCTTCTGATTCCTTCGATGTGCGGCGAATCCTCAGAGCACAGTGTCGTTCTTGGCAGCGGCACGTCGTGACACTGGCTGGCGCTGTGGGCGTCGGTGAAAGAGCGGCGAAGACGTGTCGATCGACTCGCGTGATCAACCGCATCACTGGCGTGAAGATGAGGTCGGATTCTGGCACCATCGCTTGAGACTTGCCCCAAATGCTAATGGGGATATTTGGCTTAGGAAATTGTCTCAGGATATTTGGCTTAGGAAATTGTCTCAGGATATTTGGCTTAGGAAATTGTCTCAGGATATTTGGCTTAGGATATTCCCTCAGGATATTTGTGCTTAGGATGGTCTCAGGATATTTGGCTTAGGAAATTTTCTCAGGATATTTTCTCAGGATTGGTCTCAGGACATAATCTCAGGATATTTGCTTAGGATATGGTCTCAGGATATTTGGCTTAGGATATTTGGCTGACGGTCCAGGCCACCCTCAGGGATGCCTAGATCTGAGGGCAGAAGAGAGAAGATTGAGTGCACACAAAAAGCAGACTAACCCCAGCTTCTCCGGCTGAATCATCTCTCGAGGTCTCGAGGTTGGAATCATTTCACTTTTTCGCACCCTTTGCTGCCACTCATAAAATCGTTGGGTCGTGAAGAGGACTGCTGGCGCAGTGGCAGACATGGGGAAGGGTCTCTCGTACTCTGGGCCGCAGTGGCAACCATGTGTGGGGAAGGGATTCGAAGGGTGTCGCGAGGGTACACTCGAGAATTTACAACTCTCGGAGTGTACACTCTCTTCACAGCAACGGACGAGACAGTGACAGCTGACACAAGGTTTCACCCCACACCCCACAGGCCACACCCGTCGGTGTGTTCGTGTATACTCTTACAGACAAAACACTCATTGATTCACTGAACATATATACATTATACTACACAGGTACGACAAAACAATACCATGTTCAAACTCCGCACTTTAATTCGAACTTTCTCGCCTCGGCTCGTGGGGCTCGGGAGTAGTCAAGCAGGTGTGCGGGGTGGGCGGGAGGGGGCCTGGGAGCATTTTTTTGCATTTCCGAGGCGAGCGTGGGCCGTGGTGGGCCCCTCCGGGCCTCTCTCAGCAGCACGGAAAGTAGCGCGCGACAGAGCGCTGTTCTCGGCCCCCTGAGCGTATTGGGACGAGCCAGACTAGCATGCACATCGCCTTGGCACGTAGGACGCACGACTTACCCACGCACACCCCGGTGACAATCTTGGAAATCTCCCGACAATCTCCCCAAATCTCCTCCTGCTCTCGCGAGTAGCGCGGCGCAGCGGGGCGCGTTGATGTCGATGAATGCAGTGTGGACTCCTTTTCGACACTCTCTAGCACCGGTGAACACACAGGCGTTGCTTCCGAGGTGGTAAAAATCTGTGAATGCCCGCCGAAGTTGTCGCGGTTTTCCGACTTGTCTCGTGCTCGAGCCATGCCGAAAAGAGCGGGCGCAGGCCTGGGACAGCGTCGCAAAAGCGGCCAAGGAGTCCGTCCCGGCTCCAGGCCAGGACCAGATCGCCGCTCGGTACCGCCAGTTTGCGACTCTGTGCCTGCGCAGTCGTCGCTATCTCACGCTTCCGATCTCGTCACAACAGGCGCCCTCGCCGAGTGCAACGTCCTCGCGGCCGCAAAGCCGTGCTGGCTCGCGCAGAGTCGGCGTCGCAAAGAACCTGAGAGCGCCGCGGCATGCTTCGGTTGGCGACGTCCTCGGCGAGGCCATGGAGCTGCATAGCACGAGCGACGAGGGCCGCCGCGACGGGATCTACAACCAGAGAGAGCACGGACGCCGAGGATCGCTCTCCCGTGCAGCGCCGCAGCGGCTCGTCGGCGGCTCGTCGGCTGCGGCCTCGAACGGAGATCGCATGGAGGTTGACGAGGAACCTCCCTCTCTGAGCAGTGCTCCAGCGGAGCCTGCGCAGCAGCAGCAGCAGCAGCAAGCAAGCGTGCTCACGCTGGTGGCAGACATCGGACGCCTCGAGCTGGAGGAGGTTGGCCACCGTGCCGCCGCTCGCGAAGCGATTACAGCGACAACCGGGACGCAAACATCAGGCGTGCCGACGCCTCGCGAGCTGCGTGCCCAAGCCCGGCTCGACTTGCAAGTCGTAGGGCTGCGCGAGGAGGAGCGGCGGCGGCAGCGGCTGCACGCGGCGGCAACGACGAGGCTCGTTCGAGAACTGGCGCTGAAGCTCTCGAACCCGCTGCGACACTTTGGCGGGGGTGCATTCATTCAGTTGATGATGTGCGAATTCGTCATGCGGCCAGAGGTACAGGGCCGCTCCGGCCGCTCCCTCGGCGTAGCGTTTCGCTCGCAGCTGCTGCTGGTGTACGAGCCCAGCGACGTGCCGACGCTCCCGGGCCTCTACAGCCTCGACGTCTTGCAGGCGTCGCTCAACACTCCGCTGTTGCAGCGGGCCGCCCTGCAGGCGATCGACGACGTGAAGCTCTTCTCGCTCCACCTGCCCGGCGTGCTCGGCAAGGTGGAGCCGACAGAGGCCGACTCGCTCCTCGGCCTGTGGCAGCGCGCGGCGGAGGTGCGGGCAGCGGAGGCGCGCCGGCCGCAGCGCGGCCGGCCACGCCATCGCATCGAGTTCGCGCTGCGTCAAAACATGACGGGTAATCGTTACTCGGCCGCCCTGCGCAAGGCCGTGTACTTGTACCGCCACAAAAGCGGTACGGAGCGCTCAATCTCGATGCGCGGCGCTGCGTCGCTCGCTCGGGATGGCGCCACGCTCCTGTTCGACATCTCGGACGACGATATCGCACGCGTGCATAACATCATTGTGCATAACATGCAGGACCTCTCACCGTGGGCCGACAGCCAGGACGTGCAGGCGAGGGCGCCGATCTCGGGGATGACGATTCGCGCCGGATCGCTCTTCAACCGCTTCAAATCGGGAGCCCCCACCGGGTGGGTGGCGAAGCTGTTCGCGGGCGAGGCACCGACGGAGCGCAAGCTGGTCATGCAGCGCTTTACCGACGGCAGCGAGTTTGGCGGGCACTGGCACCAGCTCCTCTTCTTCGTCGACCAGAGACGGGTGCTCTACCACGAGCCCTATGGCGGCGCAATCGACTCGGGCATCGCGTCTTGCTTCCACCGGAGCCCCGGGCCTGCCGCCGGCTGGGCGCTGGAGGTGGTGGATGTGCAGCTGCAGTCTTGCACTCACGAGTGCGCGCTCTGGGTGGACTTTGTCGCGGAGGTGGCTGTCGACTACGTGAGGAGCGACCTGACTCGCTCCTTCAGCGAGTACCTTCGCGGGTGCGCTCTCCCTGTGTGTGTGTGTGCATGCCTGCGATAAGGCTGACCGGTGTCGCGCCGCCCCCGCAGGCGTGAGGAGATCACCCCGCTCAACGGCATGCGGCGGACTTGCACGGCGATGAAGACGGCGAAGGCAAAAAACAACGCCTTCGTCGCACAGCGCCGAAACGACGTGCGCACGCTGTTACGTCTAGCCTATGTCCAGCGCCAACTGCCGCACACAGGCTCCGCAACGCTGACCGCCTTTGGCGCAGCGGCGGAGCAGGAGCCTGCCGAGGACACAGACTCGGACTTTGAGATGTTGACCTAGACCGACGTGTGATTCAGATAGTTGTCTTCAGATGTGTGTGTGATTCAGATGTGTGTGCGTGTGATTTTCGGCACGGGTATAGATTAGAAGGAACGTATCGTCACACACACCCTCTTTGAGAGAGGGACACAGCGTGGTGCCACAGTAGCGGGCGCTTCTACAGAGGCAACCGGTCCGAGGGCGAGCGTTTCGCTCGCCCTGATGCGCATGAGCGACGTGGAAGCTCTCGACCGGCGCAGATGCCACGGGCGACACCAATCCCAGCCTCAAAAGGCGAGGAGGGCTGGTGGAGTGCCCAGACGGCAGTGGCTTCCGAAGAACTTTTTGCGGGTGACGCAAAGGATCCGAGGAGAGAGCACCTCGGCTGCCGGCGAGGCATCCGCCCCGCGCCCACACATCTGATGGAAAGTGCGATGAAGCGGTGGCGGCAGGCTAGCCACCGGTGGGGCACACGGAGCGATATGGCGTTCGGCTGCGATTTGAGTGCAACCGGGTGACGCATCTCCTCCACAGAGACGCGGGGACGGCGTGCCTGCGAGGCGCCCGATATGCGCCAACGGACCCAATGGAAAGTGCGAAGCGAGCACTCGACGGCTCGCAGCCTGTGGACGGAGCACGAGAGCTCGAACCTCGCACTCGCGTGCAAAATCGGCACCTCGGAGCGCCATTTTCACACCGCATTCGAGCCCATGAAAACAACAATGTACCCCAAGCAGCACGATCACGCCTCGCACCGGTGCGGTGGTGCCGGGCGGCTCTAGGGGGTCAGGCTGGCTGCATGGCACCACCCGTAGCCCGTTTTGCTGCCCTGGCATCACCCGGAGGGGGGATTGAACATAGTAATAACAAACATATACACACACACAGGTACGGCCTTCCCTCGGAGACCCTCTTAGATGGTTTAGCGCGCAAACTCTCATATGCCTCCCTGCGACCGCGCGACGATGGTGTGTGTGTGTGTGAGACGCACAGACGATGTCAACACACGAGGACAGATGTCAAACACCCGACGCTTACGCCCCCATGTCATCCGAGTTGAGGACGACAGGCCCAACACGCCCGCCCTCGAGCCTCTGCCGCGCGGGCACCGCCGGCTGAAGGCAGCCGCGGACGCCCGCGAGCAGCTCGGCGAGCGCGCCCTGCCACCCGTCCGCCTTGAGCGAGCCGCCGCCACCGCTGGTTGCGGCGGCGCGGGTCGAGCGAGAGCGCGGCAGCTCCTCCAGCGCCTTGGCCGGCGGCGACGGCGCGAGGAACTCGGCCGCCATCGCCTTGAACCGCTCGTCGCGGCGCGCGATGCACTGCATCACCACGTCGAAGTGTGGTGTGGAACGAGAAGTCATCGCACCACCACCCTTGGCAGCACAAAGCCGCGCCAGATGTCCGCCAGCTCTGGAGCCGCTCCCTCGCGGCTGTCGAAGCGCTCCTCGTCCCACGCGATCAGGTAGCCCAGCTGCATCACCTCGACCGCCCGCTTGCGAGCCGCCTCCGGGAAGAGCTCGTGGGACTGCGGCGACCACTCCGCCGCCTTGAGGATGAGCCTGCCCACCTCCACCGCCTCGGCCGCTGGCTGCAGGTTGGCCGGCCTGAGGGAGGGCAGAGGCTTGGGGTGTGCAAAGAGAGGATCCGGCGAGTCGGGGAGAGACCATTGCAGTGCGCGCCTCAGTGCGAGGGCCTTGGCCTCGCCCGCCACGCGCACGCCGAAGCGGCCCGTCGAAGGGTTTGCGGAGACGACCACGCCGACCTTGCCGTTCATCGAGGGCCGCGAGACGAGAGAGTGGATCGCGACTGTGGAACCGACTCGCCCCACGAGCAGAGGACGCGCGCCCGCTCGAGGGCCGAAGGCTCGCCGGAGGAAGAGTCAGCGCCGCCGCGCAGCAGCGCCCGCGCCCGGTCGACGGTGAGCGCCTGCGGAAGAGGGGCAATGGGCGTGAGGACAATGCACTCAAGCCTTCGGCCGCTAGTCTCTGGCACGCCTCGAGGTGCTGGAGCGGCGTCCAGCCGCGGCTGGCGACCAGCCAAGCGGCGAGGTCGGCGTGGCCTTGGCTGTTTGCGGCCTCCTCAGGCGTGCCGAAGGGCGTGGCGGCGCGCGAGGCGCCGTAGGAGGAGAGGAGCTTGGCGACCTCGAGGTGGCCTTGGTGGCACGCAACGAACAGCGGCGTGGCGCCGTCGTTGCGGGCTTGGTCGATCGCTGCACGGGCCTCGAGAAGCAGCCGAGCGATCTCGAGGTGGCCCTTCTGGCACGCGATGATCAGCGGCGTGACGCCGTTCTGCTTTGCTTGGTTGATCGCCGCGCCAGCCTCGAGGAGCAGCTGGGCGCACTCGAGGTGGTTGTTCTGGCACGCAATGAACAGCGGCGTGCAGCCACTGTCCATCGCTTGGTCGATGTCAGCCCCAGCGCCGCGCAGCAGCTGGGCGCACTCGAGGTGGCCTTCCTGGCACGCGACGAGCAGCGGCGTGCCGCCGTCGTTCATCGCCTGGTCGATCGTTGCGCCAGCGTCGCGGAGCAGCTGGACGCACTCGACGTGGCCGAACTGACACGCGATGATCAGCGGCGTGACGCCGTTCTGCTTGGCTTGGTTGACGGCCGCGCCAGCGTCGCGCAACAGCTGGACGCACTCGACGTGGCCGAACTGACACGCGATGATCAGCGGCGTGACGCCGTTCTGCTTGGCTTGGTTGACGGCCGCGCCAGCGTCGCGCAACAGCTGGGCGCACTCGAGGTGGCCCTTCTGGCACGCCATGTACAGCGGCGTGACGCCGTTCTGCTTGGCTTGGTTGACGGCCGCGCCAGCGTCGCGCAACAGCTGGGCGCACTCGAGGTGGCCGTTCTGGCACGCGACGAGCAGCGGCGTGGCGCCGTTCTCGTGGGCTTGGCTTACCGAAGCGCCAGCCTCGAGAAGTAGCCGGGCGATCTCGACGTGGCCCTTCTGGCACGCGACGAACAGCGGCGTGCAGCCGTCCTCATCGGCTTGGCCTGTCGCCCCGCCAGCCTCGAGGAGCAGCCGGACGATCTCGAGGTGGCCCTTCTGGCACGCAACGAACAGCGGCGTGGCGCCGCCGTCCTCGGCTTGGTTGACCGCCGCGCTCGCCTCGAGAAGCAGCCGGACGCACTGGTCATGGCCCTGCAGGCACGCGATGGACAGCGGCGTGAAGCCTCTGGCGTCTGCTTGGTCGGTCGCCGCGCCAGCCTCGAGGAGCAGCCGCACCGCCTCGGCCTGCCCGTGAAGAGCGGCCCAGGTCAGCAGGGTGTCCTGCCCCTCGGTGTCGTGCCGCGCGTCGAGCTGGGCCGCGAGCGAGGTGCCGCGCGTCCCCTGCCCGGAGAGGAAGGCGCGCAGGCCGGCCAGGTTGCCCCGAGCCAGGTCGGCGAGGTGGGTCGGGATGATGGGCGCCACTCATGCATGCCAGAAAAAAGAAAATCCGCCTTGGGGCACTGGACTGGCGCGCACTAACCTGAAAGAAATCTAAGTATCGGACACGGAGAGTGGTCCTTGCGCAAGGAGAGCTCGATAACAGGCGAAGGAGGGGACTCTGGGACCGGAGTCGGGCGGGCGCACATGAGGCGTGTCCGTGTACGTGAGAGAGAGAGAGAGAGAGAGAACGTGGAGTACAGTGTAGTGTGTTCGTTAGCTCCGAGTAGAGGGGGCGTTCTGCAGTTAAGGGGAAACCCGGTACACGGAACTAACCCTCGGAGACCCGTGTTTACTTTACGGCCCTTTCCCTGCGAATGCGCACCCCGCCTAGCTAGCTAGGGGTCAGGGCTCTCTAGCCCGTAGCCCGATGCCGATCATCCGGCTCGCTGGGTGCGCTTCTTAGCTCCCTGGCCCTGGATGTGAGGTTGATGACTGCACTCCAAGTGCTCCAAGATAACTCGAGGGGCCACAACACGCCGCGAGGAGAGCAGAGGTGCGCCGAGAGGCTAGAGAAGCCGCGAGAGCAAGGGATCGGCAGGCGGCAGCGCCGTCGCAGAACGAGGCCGAGGAAGCGGGAGGCCGCCACCGCGGGGCCCGCGGCCGCCACCGCGGGGCCCGCGGCCGCCACCGCGGGGCCCGCGGCCGGCCGCCACCGCGGGGCCCACGCTCGCGACCGCGGCCCTTCTGAATTCCCCGGGGCCGGACACCGCGGGACTGGACACCGACGCGGTAACACACCCATAGGTAGGTAGGTAGGTAGGTAGAAAGGTGAAGAACAGCCACACCCACTGTACGCCAACAAGTCTCCGCGCTGCGAGCTTATTTTTTGAGACCGCCCGTTTTTGTCTGAGGCTATGTCGCAGCGCCTGCCCCGTTCGCCAGTGGTGCTCGCCAGCCTGCTCGCCAGCCTCGCCTGGCGCGGCGCGCTGGTCGGCATCCTGACCGCGCCGCTCTACTGCTGCTTCGGCGTCCTGTACGCGCTCCTCCTCCTGCCGCGCGTCCTCCTTCGCAAGCTGGACCGCCGCGCATTTGGGCCGACGCTCGACGCCGCCGACGGCGGCGGGATGGGCGGGCTGCTGCTCGCCCTCGAGGCGCCCCTCGCGCTGCTGTCGTACGTGCTGTACCAGACCACCAAGTTCTTCGTGCTGCCGATGATGAGCTCCTTCGAGGCGGCGCGGCGCGGCGTGGACGAGACGTGGGTCGACAAGCTGCACGAGAATATCGAGGACCCCGGCCGGATCCCGCGGCTGACGGTGTTCGCCGCCATCTGCTGGGCCCCTCGGTGGAACACGCACACGAATGTGCACGTCCTGTGGCTGATGGACCCGCCCGAGGGCGAGGCCACCTTCGAGGTCGAGAATGTGCGCCAGCGCGGATTTTCGTGGCAGGTCATCTTCTACGACGGGCGGCAGCAGACGCTCGGCTCGATTGCCTCCTCGCCAACGGGCGGAGAGTGGCTGGCGCTGACGCTCCGGACGGCGGGCGCCCTGCAGCTCACCATACGGCCGTACCTTTTCGATGGCTGCGCCTCGGCGACACTGCCGCGCGTGCGGATGAACGGGGTGGAGGTGACGCGGGGCGCGCCGGTGGTCTTCAAGCGCGAGCGGCTCGGCTTCAACGCGAGGCTGAAGGGTGCGTACGAGACGCCGCTGCACTGGGCGCTGCAGTGGCACACGTACGTCTTGCTCTGGCGAGGCGCTGTGAACGGCGTCTCTTCACACCTCCAAGCTGTGAACAGGCACACGTACGTCTTGCTGTGCTGCCGCAGCATGGTGTCGGCCGAGGCCGTGCGCTCCATCTACCTGCCTCCCAGCTGTGAACAGCGTCTCTTCACGCCTGGAGCTGTGAACAGGCCGTGCGCGCCATCTACCTGCCCGTCGGCAACCCGGAGACGCAGTGGCTGTACGGCGCGACGCAGCAAGGGTACTCGCTGCGCTTCGAGCTGCCCGCGTCGCTGCTCGAGGAACATCTCGTCTTTTGCAGCGTCTACGACCGCGCCTCCTTCCCGCTGCTGCCCTCGCTGCAGGTGGAGCGGCCGTCGCACACGCTGCCGCCGTGTGGCGAGGACGGCTTCTGGGCGACGCGGATCGTGCGCAAAGATGGCACCGCCACGAGGCCGGAGGTGCTTCCGTCGGTGCGGGTCACTCTCGAGCGGCCATCGCGCGCGGCGCTGCACTGAACAGGCGACTGGGGCAAGGCACCGTGCGCGCGCGACGCCGGCCCGCGAGCGGGAGCAGGGTGGCCATCTTGTATTTGCGCATGTGCGCGTTGCATGATTGTTATCTTGGTTGTGGCCAGTTGCGGGGCCGCGGGAGAGATGCCGCTGCACCGAGACCGTTCTGCTGTGTGGCATGGAGCGATGAGCATGCGGGCGGCGACGGGACAGGAGACGCGAGAGAGCGAGCAACTTGTGCCGCGCGGGGGCGCGGGAGCGGGGCCCGGGTTGTAATTATTGGGTTTTCTTCATTCTTCAATGTGGTTGTGGCTTGTGCGCCAGTGCGTGCACAGCAAGAGACGCAAGAAGTACAGAGTAGACCTACCGTACGTCAGTTGACAGGAGTAGCTAGCCAGAGACGAGCGAGGAGAGACGCACACGTCGTCATATCAGCGTCGCACGCGGTGCCGGTGGTGCGAGCGCCGTCGCGCCTCCCCAGAGCTGCGACACCGACTGCGACCAGCGCCACGAGTTCGCGGGGGGCGGGTCCGGCGCGGCGAGCGAGTCGCGGATCGAGGCGAGCGAGGGGCGGAGGTCGACGGAGCCTGAGGCTGGAAAGAAGCCCCGCGCTGCTGAGCCCTGCTCTGCGACAGGGCCGCCTGGCGCCTTCTCCGGCTCGCGCTCCGCCCCCTCCCCCTCGTGGCTCGCCAGGAACTGCTCCAGCCTATTCACAGCCCCCTCTCTAGTCGCTTGCAGCTCTCTCTTGTTTCGCCCGTTGCCTCGCAGGAGCTGCTCCGCCTGCGCACGACGTGGCTGTTCTGCCCCTGATCGTAGCCCGCGCGGTAAACCAGCACCAGCACCGCAGCCACAAGGACAGAGAGCGGCACCGCCGCCATGATTGCCATCGGGACCGCCGTCGTCTTGACCTGCGGTGCGCAAACCTCATCGTCGCCGCTCTGCCGCCCTGTAAACTCGACGCGTATAGAGGTGTGCGGCGGGTGCTTTCATGGGGCGGGGCGCGGGCGAGCCGCCGCCTGGTCGATCGCGTCGTCCTTGTGTTGCAGGATCACCGTGTCGATGAAGGCGCGGAGCTCGGCCGAGTCGCTCACCTCTTTGAAGATGGGCTTGAAGGCGATCCGAAAGGCGCGGCCGATCTCCGCCTGCGCGGCCTCCGTGACCGCAGCCTCCGAATCCTGCAGCGCGTCTTCGGGGCCGTACCCCGCTCGCACCTTTGACGCCAGCAGGCCCGGGTCAAACTGCAGCGAGCTCCCCACGGACTCGAGCGCCTCGTTCACGGCGTTGACCTCTCTCTGCACCTCGTCGCGCGCGCCCTCCGCCGCCGGCGAGACCGAGGAGACCTCGACGGCGTTGTCTGGAAGCGCAATGCTCGCGAGGAAGGTGGCCTGGTCGCCGCCCTCCGCGCGTGGCTGCGCCGAGGGATCCGCCGAGGCGCCCGAAGGCTTCACCGGCAGCGCTCTTGCCACGGGCAGGATGAGCACTGCGACGAGTGCGACCGGGAGTCCGCAGCGCCACCATTGCTGCGTTCTGGGGCAGACTGCTTCGCCCATGGTGTACGGGTGTCGTCGCTGTCGCCCATGGGTACGGGTGTCGCCCATATGTCGGGTGTCGCTCGGAGCGGTGCAGGGCTGATAAAGAATTCTACGAACACAAGCCCCTCTCACAGCAGACTGGCACGAACTAGCACCACAAGAGGCACAGCAGACAACGGCCCCTTATGGGCCGTCGAAGAGGCCGTCATACTCCTCCGGCCTCGCCCCCCCTTCCCAATCCTCCCCTGGCTCAGGCTCCTCATCCTCGCGGCGCGCAGTGCGCACCCCGCCCCGCGAAGACGAACCCTTCCGCCGGCGTGCCTCGCGGGACTGCCGCCCGCTGCCGCCGCCCTTCCCCCCCTCCGCTGCCCGCGCCGCCTTCTCCGCCGCCCGCGCGGCCGCCTTCGCCTCCTCCGCCGCTAACAGCGCCTCCCTCCGCGTGACCCCAATGGGCCCCTTGCGCATCCAGGAGAGGTCGCGCGAGCGACCTATCCAGGGGTTACTCGAATACGGCACATGCCCCTTCCGCAGCATCGAGAAGTCGCCGAAGCCAGCCCCAAAGTAGTTGTCCAGGCAGGCGTCGCAGAAAAACTCACCTAGCTGAGAGATCTGAAGCCCATAGGCATCAGAACCCTCGCCGCGCCGCA